ATTTAAATTTTTGTTATTGCGTTATTCCAAAATTTTAACACACCAGCAGATAGCTATTAATGTCAACAACTGAGCACAAATAGTTATTAATTAAAAAAATAGTAATTAATGTATAATATTATCCATAACTACATGTACAAGAATATCGTTTTTGATAAAAGTTAAAAAATAACCATAAATACATAAAAAATGTATATAGTGTTGAAATTTCCTTTTTCCATAATATAGCTATTTGTGCTATGTTATAATGCTTATTACCTAAACAATAAAAATACGGAATAAATTATTTTTTAGAAATATTAAATCTGTTAAAGTTTTCAATTTTGAGAAAAGGGATATTAAACGAGCTAAAACTTATCAGATATTCATTGATTCGAATCTTTTAATTTTATTTTTATTAAAAAGTAAAATGGCAGGATTAATTAAAATTTTTAATGTCGAAAAAAGAAAATTTATGAGGAATAAAGGGGAAGGCTGTGAGAAGGCGAGAAAGCAAATAGTGAGATGAATAAGCAAAATAGTGGGGGTGAATTTTAAAATGAAATTGTGAAAATATTAAGTAAAAAGTAAAAAAATAAAGATAACCTCGAATATATATATATATATATATATATATATATATATATATATATATATATATATATATATGTATACTATATAATTGTAGAGCCAGCGTTGCCCTGGGATGTAACAATAAGAGATAGATCAAAAAATCGACCATCATAAAGACTGAAAATAAAATTGACAAAGATTATTGTTTAAGGTTGATGGACACGCATGTCTTAATTTTTTTTTTATGAATTGGTCAAACTCAAACTCAAACAAAAAATTTGTTTTCAATCGTTATGAGTCTACCGATTGAATAGAATTTTATTATAAACAATTGTCTTGTAAATGGAATTTTAAAGCATTCTGAATGTAAAAAAAAAAGAAAAAAGTATGCAAGAGAATAAAAAACACTACCTGTAAAAAACAGAAGTTTTGTTGAAATCGGTTTTTGAAAATGTATAATCCGATCCCATATATAAACGAACACACACACAAACAACAGTTTTTTCTGGAATAAAACTCGATATGAGTTGTAATTTTTCATTCACGCGATGCTTCTTAATCGTGTTTTTAAAGGTAATCCTTTGGAACAATTGTTTTTTTTAATTTTGGCGCTGTCAGAACCACCACAAAGGTAATTTTACGAGCCCCTTTGAAGTTTTAAATGATCGCATGAAATTTTATAAATTAAATTTATCCAATATATTTACGTATAATGGTAACACACACATATTACACACACACACACACACACACACACACACACACACACACACCAACTGTATGATTTTGTTGCATGTCCAGGCAAAAACTATTATCAGGTTTTTTTATTTTACATGAACGGATTTTCAATTATAAATGTTTCGACTAATCAAAAGTTTTGTTTAGGTGAAACCTAGGTTATTTCTTTGCCTGGCTCCGTCTGTATATTTTTGCCGATTTTTCAATATTTATTTTATTGTCATATATTGAGCACATCATACGTTTAGTCTTTTAATCGTTTTTGGTTTTTGTCTTTGGACTTGATAAAAACAATTGACGAAAGGATCCTATTAAAATGTAAACAGATGTTCTTTTTTTTTATTACCAATTTTTCCTCAACATCAATTTATTATACATTAAGAGCTAAACTGTCTTTTAACATTAATACCATTCATATATATATATATATTTATTGTGATTATATATATATATATATATATATATATATATAAATAAACCAAAAGTTCAATTATTTCAGTACAATGAATCATTCATAGAAAAAGTAGATTAGTAAAGTTAAAACAAAAATGGCGAAATCATGCAAAATAAAATATTTTGGTGCATTAAAAATTTAATCAAAACAATGAATGTTTTTTTTTTTTTTAAAATTATAAACTGTATAATGTCTTTTCCTTAATTGGAAAAAAAGTACCAACTTCAAATTTTTATAAAGCATCCTCAGGCATGGAAATTATTTTTTGATTTTTTGCTAAAAAGGTTTTTGTCCGGGACGAAAAATGAAATTTTTCATTCAAATCTTTTTTTAATGTTTTATTTTAACGGATACAAACTTTGGGTGTTTTAGACGCAACGCTAAGGTTGAATTTTTTCATGAAAACCAAATAATTTCAAATTTTGTTATTTTAATTTTTTATTTTATGTTAATATAATTAATTATCAATCTACTTTTTAAATAATTTTCTCCATAAATATTCTTGTTTAAAGTCATTTGCAAGAGGTCAAGTTTCATTGACGCAATTTTTTTAAAGAAAATTTGAATAATGGTTTAAAATACAAGTTTTTAATTAACCCATAGCCTGGGGAGAGACAAATTAATCCATATATTTTCAAAAAAAATTTGCGAAGTGTATATACTCAAATTAAAGTTAATATTTGCTCTCAATAACAATTCACAAATTATCCATTATATATACCCGCAATCCAAAAATAAGAAAAATATTTTCAAGCGGTCACCCATCTAGGTAATGACCAGGCATGACATTTTTAAACTTGTGATCGAACGGAAAACTTTTTCCCCCCAAAAAAAAAAAAGAGAGAAGGCAATGTAAGAGGGAAAAGAAATATTTTTTCAGGAATATATGAGTTTTAAGAAAGAAAGAAAGAAAGAAGGAAGGAAGGAAAAAAGAAAAAAAAGAAAAAACAAAAAAAAAAAAAGAAAATGAAAAAAAAAAATCATTTTTAAAAGATTTAACGTCGTAAACTTTATCCAAATTGTAAATAATTCTCCTCCTCATCCAAAAAAAGGGGGGAGAAAAGGAAGAGAACGAGAAAGAAAAAAAAAAAGAAAAAAAAAAAAAAAAAAAAGAAATCCCAAAAATAAAAGAAAATAAGAAAAGAAAGAAAGAAAAAAAAGAAAGAAAAATGAAAAAAAAAAAGAAAGAAAAAAAGAAAGAAAAAGAAAAAAAGAAAGAAAAAAAGAAAAAAGAAAAAAAGAAAATCATGAAGGGAAATGGAGAAAACAAGGAAAATATAGAAGCCAAAAAAATATGCACCTTAAAGTCTTTAAACTTTAGCATCTCTCTGAATCTGCAGTATAAAAAAAATAAAGCCAAATATTTTTATATATAGAATGATTATATATATATAAGATAGATATATTATAAATTAAGTTCAAATAAAAATATACAAGAAAGTTTTTATTAAAAGTATCCATGTTTTTTAAAGGGAGACAGTGAAAAAATGAGACCGATATATATATATAATAAATATAAAGATTTTAGATGAAGAAAAAAGACAAGACAAAGAAATGAAGGAACGAGAGAAAGTATATATAGAGATGAGAAGGAAAGAAAAGATAAAGATTAAAAAATAGATGAAAGAAAAACAGAAAAGACAAAAAACTTTCATGAGATTTGGCAACATGGCCAGCAAGAGATTTGTTTTTTGTATTCATTAAAAGAAAAAGACCCCATCAAAAAAGCCAAAAATAGAAAATTGCGAGCTGAGAGAGAGAGAGAGAGAATGAGAGGTGGATTTAGGATGAAGGTCTCTTTAAAAGAGAGGCCCCCAAAAATATAGCCGTGTATATTGGTGTATCGAAAAAAAAAAAAAAAATAAAATAAAAAGAGAGAAGTTCATTCAGAATTTTAGGGGACAGAAAATAAAGAAAAAAAATGAAAAAAAAAATAAAAAAATCAATAATAATGCTAATATATTGACAGTTCGTAAGGTCGACTGCAGCCAAACAAATTATAAAGTCAGTGAACTCTGAAACCTTTTATAAATGTCCTGCAGGGTTGCTAAAAACAGTTTTGGGTTGTCCTTCCCTTGACTGGTTGAAAACCCAGAACCCGTTTGATGCTTTGTAACCTCAATATATATATATAAAAATAAAAAAAGAAAAAATGATGACAGAGAGAGAGAGAGAGAAGGAGAGAGAGAAAGAGGAAAAAAAATTGTCAATAGTCTAAAAGAAAAAAAAAAAAAGAAATCAAAAGCGGAAAAGATATATATATATATATATATATATATATATATATATATGAAAAAATAAATCTGATAATTATTTAAGACATTTTTTTAAAATATAAAAAATTTTTTTAAATAATTGTTTTTTTATTAAATCATTTTGATTTGTTAGCCATTTGTCCATTTTTAATTATGACGTCATTTGTTTACATTTGGATACGCATTGAGCAGATATGAATGAATGAGAGAAAATCATGGAGAATTGTATTTAAAAAGTAAAATCGACCTTGCTAACCGAATGCTTTTCTTGTGGCCCAATCGGTTAAGGCACGTCAGGCTATATAAAAAAAACGTATAGGATACAGGTTCGATTCCTATGATATTTTCTATGAAAATTTCTCAGACATTCAGGCCGGTAAATGTTGTTTAATACTATTTATTATAAACAGAGCATTTACTTAAATATTTGTATCTATAAAAAGAACGTATAAAATATAAAAAATGTCTTATATATATATAAGTATATATATATATATATATATAATATATATATATATATATATGTCCAAGAGAGAAAATAAAACCTCTAAAAACAACTGAAATGGAAAATTACAACAAAAAAACTAAAATCGGACAGATGAAAAAAAAAAAAATCAGAACGAAAAAAGGAACTGACATATGTTTGAAGTATTTGCAGCTTTCCCTAAAATGTAAAGTTCAGGGTTAAAAATAAAATGGAATGTTAATTTTCAAATCATACATGTTTTTTTGATTTTTTTACAATAAAGGCTTAATCTGTTTCCGATCTGTTTTAAATACAGTACGAATTAAATTAGGGACTATTTTTTCAATAAAGACGAGGATATTAAGCTGATATTTCAAAAAATTTAAAATTAAACGAATGTTAGAAAGGATATTTGGTAGTTTTAATCTTTCAAGGGACAGGATTTGCGTTCTGCCTCTAGTCAACAGACTTAGTGAACAGAAGGAAAAAAGCAACTATATTAATAGATAGATAGATAGATAGATGACGAATATAGCTAGCTAGCTAGATGGATAGATGTAGACACAGATAGATAGATATGAACAGACTGAAAGTGAGAAAAGTCTCTGAGATAGATAGATAGATAGATAGATGTGAACAGACTCTGAGATATATATAGATCGATAGATCGATCGATCGATAGATAGATAGATAGATAGATAGATAGATAGATAGATAGATCGAAAGAAATAAACAGGATGAAGATAGATGGATGGATAGATAGATGGATAGATAGATAGATGAAGACATCGATAGATAGATGAAGACATCGATGAATATGGACAGACTGAGAAAGGGAATGAGCGAGAAAAGACTGTGATAGATAGATAGATAGATAGATAGATAGATGGATGATAGATAGATGGGGAATAAATAGAAGTAGATGAATGGATGGATAGATAGATAGATAGATAGATAGATAGATAGATAGATCGAAAGAAATAAACAGAGTGAAATAGATGGATAGACCAGATAGATAGATGAAATGGATAGATGGATGGATGGATGAATTAACCTGTGAATTTACGTCGCTTTCTTGGTTGACATCACTGCCAACGCGCCTCATCGTGACATCGGTGCCGTCTCTGCTGATCATGACCGGCTATCATTTGCTGAAGACACTAATGACG